GAATATGATCAGGAACAAGGTAGAAATCACCACACGCAAACACAGCTCAAATGGCCCTCTCTATGTGCTCTAGATATTGTTCCTCTTTTGCCCCTCTTTTTTCTATTTTTTGGGCTGTCGTTGTTTTTTTGGGAAATTTCAACTTTTTTATTTTATTTTATTTTTTGATATTTTTCCTTTACTTAGGGGCACAAAAGAAGTAACCACAGAAAATATGAGCTCAAAAAAGCAAAGACGTGGCCTATGGAATTTTCAGAAAACTGGATCAAAATCGACAAAAACCTTATGACCACGAAAAGAGGATCTTGTGACCACTTTTTGACCAATCTAAAATTTTCGAACCCTGGCAAAGCCAGGGCTGGACGGACCAAAAAAAATTCTGATTGATTTGCATATATGAAACGTCGAAAACGGAGTTCGTATGCGAAAACTAGACCAGTTTTACGAATCGACTTCGAATTAGAGGACAAAACGGGAACAATGCGCGGAAAAGTTGTCACGGCAGCAAGATTTGATGGAAACAGTGAAGAAAGAGTAACAAAATAGATGGCGTGAACTAGGGTTTGATGGATACAAAGGAAACACAGCAAGACTTGAAGGTGTTTACAGATTATGATGAAAAACAAAGGAAAAAAATACAAACTGGACTCAAAACGATCTAAAACCAGCAACAAGAACTTGACCTAGAACACAAACTCAACAACGCGAAACAAAAACGATATTGCATGGCACAATAAAGCTATAGGACAGGGAATATGTAGCGGCGTATATATATTTTTTAGCTTTTTAGTGGACTATAGGTAATGCAAAAACAGTAACAATCTAAAGGGAAAACAAAGTTATATCTAACGGGCAACAAGGTCTCTGATACCACTTGATGTAGACTAGGCCCGATCTTCCGAAAGGTATGATAGCGTCGATTGGTGGAGACTCGACGTTCACGATCTGGGCTTCGAACCAAGACTGATTCGGACCCCTTCAACCGTTACACCACTGCTCCGTTGGTTATCAACCACGTGAACGCGATTGACCTCACCGAGAAGGCTTTTCTGCAAGCGAATCGAGAACACAAGCAAGAACGGAATCAACGCAATCTGAAATTGCAAATAAATATGAGGCTTCTGAAAACAATAAGGAGTTCAAGTCTTTATTCGATAGGACTAATCGCCACAGGCGAACAAGATCAAGAACTGGGGCCCTGGTTCACAGCAAGCGGCCTTGGCGGCGACAGTTGCAGCAAAATGATATATGTTTTTCACGAGAAAATCAAGAACTAAACAAAACACAAACCCTAAGAAGAGCGACGGCTGCTAATTATAGAGTCTTGGGCGTCACCCCCTAGACGCGCCCCCTAATGGGCCCAAACACGATACATGGTCCGACAGACCAAAATACGGTGTCGCAGCACCCTGGCAGATTCTGGACGCTGACTTGTTTCGACGATTCCTATTGATTCCGAACAGCTTTTTACGTGAGACCACTTGGATTGGCTTACTTATCAAATTAGCTTTCCATCCATATGTGGATCGTTGAAAACGGAGTCCGGATGCGTCCTGGGTGACCAGTTTAAGGCAGACTGGTCCTGGAATCCGAGATGGACTCCAACTTCAGTTGGACTGGGCCTCCACCCTGAAAAAGATGAATTGGACGCCCATGCTGGACCTCCTCCTCTCCTTGGCTTATATGCGACGAGGTACTGATGTCCTCGTCAGTTTTGGGGCTTGTTCTTTGTTGGGTTGGAAAGCCCTCGAAACAAGCTTTTCGGAAAGTCCAAGATCACCGAAAACGGAGTTCAGAGTTAAAAGTTATGGCTTTTTCCGTATGATGATCTTTGTTGTCCTAAAGACCCATAGAGGTTCCACCCGTTTATGCGGAGGCTCCAGGCCGCGGAGGCTCCGCCCCTGTGCGCGGAGGTTCCAGGGTCTGTAGGTCATAACAGCTAGTTTTTTACCTCCAACGGCTAGTTTTTGTGGGGTGAGTATATATACCCATCCCACGTCTCCTGGCCGTGCTGCTGGCTCCTATTTCACTTCCAACCTATTCCAAGCCATTTGTGAGCTCTTTCTAACTCCTCTCTTTGTGAGAGTGAGTAATTAGTGTGTGATTAAGTGATAGAGAGTTGATTAGAGCAAACTAAACCTTGAGCACTTGTTGGGCTGCGTTAAGCATTCATTGCGCATTCGTTACTCTTGGAGGTGAAGCCTCCTAGAGGGCTAGGCTTCACCTGATGAGCTCCCGTGCTAGTGGTGAGCCATGGGAAAGTTTGTATTACCTGGAGATTTTAGTGGAACCCTCAAACTCAACCTCGGTGTTGCACTTGAGAAGAGGATAGGGTTGGAAGAAACCCAAAGCCTTTGTGGCTTCCTCAACAACGTGGACATAAGTAAGCTTTGGTGGCGAGCTGAATTATGGGATAAATCATGTGTCTTGTTCTTTATGTTTTGAATTACATTATTTATGTTCCACTCGATCTACTTGGTTGTGTGTGTTTGTGAGTGCAGGGACTTCATGGACTTGCCACTGGACATCATCATCAAGAAGTTTGGTTTGAGTTTGATGTCTAGGTGTAGCAGCTGCTGAGTGCTCTGTGTTGCCCGAAGGCTCCGCGACATCCCCCGGAGGTTCCACACCCCAGAGGTTCCGTGTAGTTTCCCGAAGGTTCCACGGGCTGCTAATCCGCTGCAAGTTTTATTTGTTGATAATTTTTAGAAACACCTATTCACCTCCTCTAGGCGACATCAAGGTCCTTTCACCCTCGATCACCTCTATGTCCTTCGTGTAGATCCTGACTGAGTGTGAGAAAGTGGATTAAAAGTTACATTAGTACTTGTGTTCACAATGCTTTCTTCTATGGGGTCCACCTCTTGCTATTGCATGTTCTTTTGTGTGGTTGATTGGAAGATGAAAGGGTATGAGACATCAAATGACATCAAGGACAATTAAGGTTTGGAGGCATAGGGTGAGTCATGGCTTATCTAGAACTCGCTGCAAGTGGCTGGAAGCCCCTCGTGATGAAGGCATGTTAGCCACATGATGTGGTGACCGCCCGATCGGGTGGCAGAGATTTTATTTATGGCATTGCCTAATGAAATGCAAGATCTTGAACTCTAGATTCAAAAGTAAGAGATCCTTAGTTTCTAATTAGAAAACTTACTAGTTCAATAGTTCTTAGTATTCTTTTCTTCCATCGAGCAATGTAAGGCATATTTTAGAATGTGAAAGTCACTAAAAGTAAATTTTGACAAAATGATTTCTCTTCCATCATATTATCAATTTTTAAAGAAACAACATCCTATCCAATATCTATTGTACATGGAACATACATATAACTAGAAAGATACCCTGGGCGTTGTTGCATGACTTTTTAAAAGATAAAGCTATTGCATGTATAAGTTAGACCTCCATGTTCTTGCATTAGTTCTTATCAAAATTAGGTAGGGCAATGAAAGAATATAATAAAAAGAGAATATAATTAGATAGAATTATAAGATGATGGAACAACTAGCAAATATGGATGTCTTGTTATCTTATATATTTCTTATATATTAAAAAATAGTAATTACACTTAGTGGACGTGACGTGGATTGGATGCATTAAGAGGTTGAAAAATAGTGGGACAACATGACATTTAGCAAAAAAAAATATAGATGGTTAGTGGGAGATGACGTTGATGACTTGCATGTTGATATAGAAAGATGTTGAAAGTTAGTGGGGATGGTGTGGCATTTAGTGGGAAATGATGTTGATGTTTAGTGGAAGATGACGCGGATGACTTGAACGTTGAGATAGAAAGATAATAGGGTTTATGTTTATAAAAGATATAGATATAGATAGGTAGATATAGATATAGATAGATAGATATAGATTTAACTAATTAATGATCAGAGGTTGTAAAGTATGATTTTTTCTATCCAAAATACACATTACACTAATGGACAACTGGATTACATCATAGGATCTTGCACACAAAGAAAGAGAGATGAATTGATTTTCTATATGTGTTTTAGCGGCCGTACTCTTATGATTATTGAAAGATAGAAGAGTCAGTACTTTTATGAAATATGCATCCCATAATTCTAACCTCACGGTGTTTTAAAAATATATTAATATTCAGAACAAATATCAAATGAATGGACTATCAAAATATATTTCCTTTGAGTGCAAATTTGATAACTGCACATGTTGGTATTTTTTTATAAACTTGGTTAATTTTAACTAGAACTGAACTACAAAGATCTACATTTTAGTAACGGTATAAAAAAACTCCTCAGGAAATACAACCTTTAGGTAACCTTATAAGCTCTCTTTTCTTACAAGATCTCTCTCCAACATTGCAAATTTGTAATCCCTACACTACAGTTTGAGACTTTGTGGGGCTACTAACGGGCCATTTATCGTTCATCAGGAACCAGGTTTAACTAAGCCCAACAGCCCCACCACCCAATTTCCCGGGCCGTGGGCCGAACCTTACAGCCCGATCTGTTTGAGCCAGTCTCGACCGTAAAACACTCGTCCGTTAACCCCGGAGGTGAAACGGTAACATCCGCGGTCCCCAACGTGGGGCGGCAGCGTCCCGCCCGGTAACCGTGCCTCTACGGCCGCGCGCACCAGCTGGAGCGCAGGTGGAACCCGCGGCGCCTTGCCCCGTTAACACACGCCTCCCTTGCCCGCCATTAACTGCCTCACGCTCCTCTCCCTCCCTCCCTCGCTCGCTTGTTCGGCACACTCCCTCCCCAAAGCGGCAGCCTCTCACGCGCTCCACCACGCCACTTCCCTCCACCCCTCTCTATATACTCCACTCCTGCTGTTTTCCGTCCATCCGCCCACCGCTTCGCAGCTCCCATCCCAAAACCCTAGCCCCCGGCGGATCGCGGGGCGCCTCCGGTGCGTGTCCGGTGCCAGCGACGCGGCTCGTTTGATCCGATTGGTTGGTCGGGCACCGCTCTCGCTGCCGCGCTTCGCTCCGGCGGTGCGGCGGGGGGAGCACCGAGCACGCGGAAATGGGGAACTGCTGCTGCTGGGGCGCGCGGATCAAGGATGGGAGCTCTCACCCTGGCGCCTCAGGTTCGTCCGTCCTTCTCTCTGCCGTTGCTTGGTACCGTTAGTTCATGGGGCGATTCGAGGAGGGGTTTGGGCGATCCGTGCTTGCTAGTTGCGCTCTCCGGTCAGGCGGAGGGCTTTTGAGATGTGAAAAATCCGGTTCGTTGCTCGCGACACATGTATGTATCTTTTGCGAAATGATGTGTACTCATCTGCGTGATGCGTTTTTTTTGGGTGATTTGATTAGATAAGTTTCCTAGGCTCCTAGCAACAGAGGAGGAACTTTCATCGAATCAAGTAGGCAATGGCATACTGTGGTTATGTACTCTTGCTTGTTGGTTAGGCTGATTGGGCTATTCCGGTGGGTCTTGTTCTGTTAGATGATTCCAACGTTTCAGCTGTCTTGCCAACCTCAATGTGTCCAAGGAGCTAGAAGTGAGCCATCGCAATCGCTCTAGAGTGGTTTTTTTTTTTTGTGCTAAAGCGAGCTTGGAACCTGAGGCGATGTACTTTTGTAGGTGGTGCTGCACTTGTGCAAAAAGAACTTAGCCTTTATTAGATGATAGGCATTACCTTATTTCGTATGGTAATGGATGGGACATGTGCAGTGGTTCTTTCGTTATCCGCTCGGTAGCACTTGTCCTCCTGAGATGACATTGGTAAGTGACATGAGGTTGACTTTACTGCAAGAAGTCTTATCACTACCTTATTAGATAATGTTTTGTGTTGACCACCTGCATGTGTAGTTCCAACCACCCTGGATTCTGTTTTTGACCTAGGTGATATAGGATCGAAGCAGGACCAGTACTGTGGTAGTGTAATAACTAGTATGACTTTTCTTGTAGCATTGTGTGTGTACCCCAGATGACCACTATTTGGCATGCTTATACTGTTGAGTGTGGACCTTCACTATTCACATTTTCCCTCTTGTGAAATATATCACACGAACAAAGGAAAAAATATTTTAGGAGTTGACTAATTGTTTCCTGTTGTTATTATATTTTTTATTCATTTGCTTAATGTACGGTGTTGGTACAAAATTAGGAAAAACACCGAAATTCTACCTTGATGTATTTTGATAGTGTCATAACAAAGCTAGTAATGTCTACCAGTTCACATCCGATAGTCGGTTTCTATGACCTATTGATTAAATGTTTTGAGCGGTTAGTCACAGTTACGTTAATGCCGACTTATATTGTTTTTCCTTACAAAAGGCATGTATGTTTACTGCGTTATCATATGCCTACATCGGTTGCTCTTGCACTAAAAATGTTTTAGGATCCTCTAGGAAAATTGGTTTCTGGAGCTGATTCTTCGACATCAATCAACCCATTAGTGCTAGAATTTTTGCCAAAAACAGCGATTATTCCTGCCTATAGCTGTCTGCAGGTTCTCTTATCAATCTTTAGAGATGGCCGAGCAATGATTTTCAATATACAGTTCCTTATATTGTACGGTGCTAGTTTCCTATTAAAATATATGTTTAAGTGGATGTGCCTTCTGGATAGTGATGGTTGTTATTTATATGAGCCTCGGATATATCATCACAATCTTATTCACCATTGGAACAATATGAGGCTTTTGTTCGGTGTTTTCTTTTACCCTTAAGTAGAATCTTTACTAAATGCTTGATCTGCAGGAATATTCTCGAAGAGTAGTGGTAAGGATGGGAGTAGGCTTAGCGGCTGTAGTAGTCGAGCCTCTTCAGCTTCCATGCCACCAAGTGCCAAGACTGAATGCGAAATACTGCAATCCGCCAATGTTAAGGTCTTCACCTTCAATAATCTCAAGGCAGCCACAAGGAATTTCCGTCCTGATAGTGTTCTAGGTGAAGGAGGGTTTGGATCTGTCTATAAAGGATGGATCGATGAGAACACATTATCACCTTGCAGGCCTGGCACTGGAATTGCTGTTGCTGTGAAAAAACTCAACCATGAGGGTTTGCAAGGGCACCGAGAGTGGTTGGTGAGTATAATGTATAATGCTATTCTATTTTATGCTATTGCCCTGTGAATACATGATTGTTCATGTTTGTTTGAAATTTCCTCTTGCATCCCACCTTTCTGTGCTGGCTTTGGTTACTAACATAGATAAGTATTCTGTTCATAGGCGGAAGTTAACTACCTAGGTCAGTTCTGTCATCCCAACCTTGTCAAGCTGATTGGATACTGCGTAGAGGATGAGCACCGACTGCTAGTATACGAGTTCATGCCCCGTGGGAGCTTGGAAAATCATCTGTTTAGGAGTAAGTTACCCAGGACCTTGTGTTACTGATCTCTTATTTTTTGTTCATATTATAATATTGCTGTGGTAGTATGTCTTCTGATTTATTAGTTGCTCTATGAACCCTTGATGTAGGAGGCTCATACTTCCAACCTCTGTCATGGAACCTTAGAATGAAGGTTGCACTTGGAGCAGCAAAAGGACTGGCTTACCTTCATAGTGCAGAGGCAAAAGTTATTTACCGAGATTTTAAGACTTCCAACATCCTCCTTGACACAGTAAGTGAAAGTGAATCTGCAATGCAGGATACTTCATTTCAACATTTGTTTGCTCCACTGAAAGAGGTACATTGTATTAATACGCAGGATTATTCTGCGAAGCTTTCTGATTTTGGATTGGCTAAGGATGGTCCTGTTGGTGAGAAGAGCCATGTGTCCACAAGAGTTATGGGAACATATGGTTATGCCGCTCCTGAGTATCTTTCAACGGGTAACATTTGAAGTGCAGCTCTGTGTTTTCCCTCCAAATTTCTGTAGATTTGCTTGCCCTGATCTAGAAACTGCATTTTGTGACAAAAACCTAGCTAATGGCGTACATTAAATGACACATTCAATATAAATCCTAGACTCCTTAAAAATGGTATAATTGGTCCCCTGCATGGAAATTCCAATTTTGGTGTATCATATGCTATATTGAGTTGACTAGTTAAGTTGCATTTTTTTGAAAGAAGTTTTAGTGCTATGCATTAGTGGAGTGGGGTTGAAAAAGAAGGCCATGGATGTTGGTGCTTGTTTTCATGGTCTTCTAAATATATCATAAACAGTTGCGTGACGTGGCTTAGATTTCATTTTATGAATTCAAATTACAGCACTTCGGGCTTTGGTGCGAAAATGTTGTGATTGTCTTGTAGACAAAGAGCGCCATTTTATTTCGGTAGCCTTGTAAGAACAGCTCAATCATTGCGTGGCTTAGATGCCATTTTATGAATTCAAATTACTGCACTCCTAGCTTTGGTGCGAAAATGTTGTGATTCTGTCTTGTAGGCAAAGAACGCCGTTTTATTTCAGTAGCCTTGTATGAACAGGTCACCTAACTACAAAGAGCGACATCTATAGCTTTGGAGTAGTGCTTCTGGAGATGCTGTCAGGCCGTCGTGCCATCGACAAGAACCGCCCCCCAGGGTGAGCACAATCTTGTGGAGTGGGCTAGACCTTACCTCACACATAAGCGCAAGATATTCCGCATCCTGGATACAAGGCTGGAAGGTCAATACAATCTCAACAGTGCGCAAACAATTGCTGCCCTTGCTCTTGAATGCCTATCCTACGAAGCTAAGATGAGGCCGACTATGGATGCTGTGGTCACTATTCTACAAGAGATCCAAGACTCCGGTGAAGCCGAGAAGCATCAAGAACCCAAGGCTGGAACCAAACAGGCACCTGCTGCTGTGAATGCTAGCAAGAGCACTCGCAAGCCTCGCCGGAGAAGCCTGGCAGGCACAAAGGAGACTGTTGGTCCAAATCCAAAACCATTGGCCCATTCTCGTTAGCAAGGAAAAGCATTGAACTTGGTCAGGTCGTTAGCTAGACTGTAGCTTGTGAATATGCTCTGGTCTGTGTATATTGAGGGTAATCAGGCTTTTGGTAACAAGTTTTTTCTTTTTTATCGTGAGCTGCTCGGTTTCAGCTTGACTGCATCTGTATGTCGAAACCCATGGCATCAAGAGAGAGCTCATGTTCCGAGTCTTTAACCTGAAATCATCGTCTTTGTTGCAGGCTGCATTTATTCCAGGTTATAAGCTGTTCAGTAGGCATCAATGTGTCGCACCCATATCTTAGTGCTGTTGACTGTTTGTGCTGCTGAGATATGATACGTGCCCTGCTTGGCTGATAAGCCATGGTTGAAAGTATCGTTGGCTGATTTGTTGCTGTTTGTTGGCTCATGGGCGCTGATGTATCCGTGACATGATGTTGACAGGCGCTTTGCCGATCGAGATCTCCGGCGTGAGGGCCGTTGCGATGGGCATCGAAGTGGATGTGGATGGCACTGGCAGTCCCAGCTGCTCAGCTTGCCGGCCATTGCCATCTCCGTTCCCTCCCTCTCTTCACGCCGCTGATCTCGGCCCCACCGCATCGCCTGATGACAGCAACCATGTCCACACCTCAACTGGGTGTCACGGAGGAGTGGGAGTCGCATTTGGCTCCCTCCACGGCGACGTCGACGCGTAACTAGCGCCATCTCCCGATGAACTCACCAAGCCGCACCGGTAGCAGAGCATCATCATGCCGGCGAGCCATGCCATGTCCCGAACACGGCGTGGTCGGTGGCGCAGTCGCCGTCACGAGCGCGACACTATCGTCCGAACTCGAGCAACCAGACAAGACAGAACCGACCGAGGCCATCCCAAAGCAGAAGAAGGCCCTGCCCGGTGCCCGGCTGCCCGCTTTCGCTTTCTGCTTTATCCCTTTGTTTCACGTATTTTCATTTCGGCACAACCGGAGGAAGCAGCCCTTGCTGGCATTCACGCAAAGCAGCCGGCACGAATCAATGAATCATCGCGGTCGTCATCATGCGTATATCGCGTAGGTTTACGAGGTTTTCTTAACCAAGCATCACAGCGACACAGAAGCGAGAGCAGCAAGAAAAGAAACTTTCTTACAAGTCCAACCACCTTACTTACTGGCAATGGAAATCAGGTCCATGATAACAATAAATAGATAACAAAGGCGTGTCATGGAGACATACGGGACGGAAGGACAAGACGAGCAGCTGCGGGCTACGCTCACCACCCCCCAATTTTGAGCTGCAGCTTGGCAGCCACTTCAGCCACTCTTTAGTTTCGACAGATATCCATCAGACCCCACAAACACGATCCATAACCACACACTCATGGCGTAGAGTACTAGGGACCAGCTAGACGGCAATATACCCTAACCGACCCTTTTGCCTCCAATGTTCAGAAGAAAAAACTCCTTTTCAGAGAGGACTTGACCTGGAATTAAGGCGAGAAGGCGTGGTGGCCTTAAACGGGCATTCACGTACATTCCCACCCTAACACGCGCTTAATGACTACGTATACTAGTAGTGATTATGTATATATAATAAGAAGACCTTGGCTTCTTCTCACTCAGCGGTCGAATTTGATATGACCTCATCAGACCCTGAAGTTCTTGCCCTCGAAGGTCTGGCCGAACTGCCAGTTGCGCGGGGCGGCGTTCCAGGAGGTGGAGGTGCGGCGGTCGCTGCCGGTGACGCGGAAGGAGAGCGCCTGGCCGACGAGGATGGCATTGGACTGCCAGTTCTGGCCCCAGTTCCGGGACATGGGCAGCCACCCGGTGCTGGACGCCTTCACGCTCGCGCGCACGATGTCCCCCGCGCCGGCCACGTTGGTGATCAGCACCAGGTTGAAGTACCGGAAGCCGTTGATGGTGAACCGCACGCCGCCGGACTTCCGGCATGGCACCCTGCAGCGAGAACCAAATCTTCATTAGCACGCTTTCTTTTTCTTTTGTATAATGCTAAGCACTCCCAGTAAACACTTTTTTTACAGCATCGCTAGATTTAGGGCTTTTAAATCCAGCCTGTACTACAAGCAGCAGTACACAGGGGCAGAACGGGAAATGCCAAGCGAGTTGTTCCTGCGGCTGTAGTGGAAAAAAGACAGGCACGACAGGCACCACGGCCAGGAGGTGCAGTTAGCGCAGGCAGAGTGCAGTGCAGGACCACTGCGGCTTCACGCGGCAATGGCGGAGCTGCAGGACGGAAGGACGGAAAGGCCCCTGGGCTTTACAGGTCACGCGGGGACCGGGGCACGGAGGAACCAAGGGCAAAGGGGCCATTTCAGGTGGTAGGCAGGCCGGTGAAGGTATGGGCCTATGGGGTCATTTTGGAGATGTGAAGCGTCAGGCGTGGACGGGGAGAGCCGCAAAAGACCCGGAGTCTGTGCGGTGCCTGCCTGTGTGCCCCCGGCGGCAAAAGTGAAAAAGGTCAAAGCCTGTGCTGCCCTACCAGTACCAGTGTGTCGTCTACTGTTCCTACAGGCGTTTTTTTGGAGGCTTCTCTGGGCCTTTCCCTGTGGCCGATGCCCCGGGTGGTCGTCTTTCTCGAAACAGTGTTCCACTACTCGTGGCTTATAAGATTTTTTTTTTTATCGAGGAAGAATATTTTTCTCTCACAATAAATCACACAATACTCTTAGTCAGAGCTTATCAGCCAATCCAACTGAGCTTATCAGCCAATCCAACCGGGAACGCCACTAACGCTAGACACAACAAAAACAACCACAACTGTACAGATGGCAGATTAGACCCAAATAGAATACTTCCGTTTCTTTCGTCAGGAGTCGACGAGGTACTACTAAACTACTACTAGTAGCACCGGACGTTCGTCCGTCCGTCCGGCTTCCGTCCCATGTGACCTGCCGGAACGGGCTCGCTCGCTACCATGCTTGTGTTGTCTGTATGGTGTGCACCCCGCGCAATGGCTAAGCTCAAACTCTAGAACTACTACGTTCCAAACTGTACCAAGAAGTGCCAATGGAGACGTGGTGGACTCGTATGGACGCAGAAAATCACAAATTTCCTCTAGCTCTGTACCAAATCGCCTTGGATTTATCACGTACTACCGCAGAATTTTGCGTTGCGGCTATTACGCCGCGATCCGGTGCCCCTTCCCCAGCCCGCCATCGGGGAAAGTAGTGATTGCCAGCCCGCGCCGTGATCGAAGCTAGGGGCGTGTTCTTTTCTCAGTAAGACTAGAGACTAAACACTAAGCGACGCGAAATGAATTGCCATGCCGTGCAGGTCCGTGCCGCCAGATCGATCGATCGGCAACGGAACAAGCCACCGGAGCTGACGAAACGGGCAGGGCAGGGGAGGGGAGGGGAGGAAAAAAAAGGCGGAACGGACGCGGTGCGGGCGTTGGTCGATGGTGGTTGTGTGCCCGGCTGCCGTGCGTGAACCTGTGACGGAACGCGTCACGGGCACGTTTTTTTCCCACCCACAGGCCGCAGCTACACTGCAGCGGGCAGCAAAGAGCGGAGGAGGAGGAGGAGGAGCCCCACTACGCCTCAAAAGACGCGTGGGCAGAGGGAGGAATCTCTGCTATTGCCCTGCAGACGAAACGCCCAGTGGAGTGGAGGGACAAAAGGCGTCAGAGCCCCGGTGCTCCAACCAAGAAGCATGTCGTTTACTACTACTGGCACCGTGCCCAACACTGTTGAAGAGGGAGAGGGGAGAGGAGGGAAAGCGTCGTCGTACCGGCGGTAGGAGACGGGGACGATGCCGGCGCGGTACTCGGCGATGTGGAGGAACATGGGCATGGCGAGGTCGAAGTGCGGGCGTGGCGGGTTGCACCAGCCGCCGTCGTCGGAGGGGAGCGCGTAGTTGGGCGGGCAGAAGTTGGTGGCCGTCACCAGGATGGAGGGGCTCCCGGGGCGGCACCACCGCCACCCGGGCTGGTTCTCGCACTTGATCTCGAAGCACGCGCCGCAGCTCAGCCCCTCGTTGAACAGCGCCGTGCTCAGCGCCGCGTTGTTCACGCCGTACCCCTGGCTGTACAGGTTGCCGTACCCGCACGCGCCGCCTGCAAGACCGCCAGCCGAGAACGGCAAACGTTTCTTTCAGTTAGCCATTCCGTTTCTTCTCATTCATGAGATCGACGACAAGCACGGCGAGGAAGGAAGGAAGAAAACGCTGCGACCAGACCAGACCAGCCAGCCCGGACGTATGTAATGTAACGAACTTACCCATGGTGCCCGAGGCGTCGCTGCCGCCGTAGAACGTGGCGTGCGCGCTCTGCCAGCCGCCGCCGCCGTACACGCCGGGCATTCGGGCGTCGGCGGGGGAGAGCATCGTCGCCGCGGTCAGCAGCAGCAGCACCGCCGGCATCGCCGCCATCACTCTCCCTGAGTCCTCTTCCTCGCCTGCCGCTACAGGACGGACGCTGTCAGTCAGTGCACCGCACCACGCAGGCGAGCGAGCGGCGGAGGCACAGGGAGTGGAGCGGTGGGTGGCGAGTGGCGAAGGGCGGGGTCGTATTTATGGAGGCACGAGACAGACCAGATAATGGCGCGGGCGGGCGCGGCCTGTGGAGACTGAAGGGCTTGTGTAAATACAGAGCCGCTCAGGGGTGTCACATCAGTACTGATACGACTGTGTTCGGATAGTAATAAAAATAAATTATAAAATTTATTAAGAATCATGAGATAAATTTATTAAATTTAATTAATCTATTATTAGTATATGTGTTACAATAGCACCATATTATCAAATCATTGACTAATTAGATTTAAAAGATTCGTCTCGTAAATTAATCGTAAACTGTGTAATTAGTTATTTTTTAATCTATATTTAATTAATATTTTATATATGTATCAAATATTTAATGTGATAGCAAGTAAATTTTAGGGGACGAACTAAGCACGGTCTGACTGCGCGTGAGGGGGTAGTCTACTACGCGCCTACTGGGCCATGCCAGCCCACAGCGCGGTGAAAGGAGGAGCAGGCCGCGGGCCGGGGAGGAATTGAGGAAAGCGGAGGAGAATGCGCA